AATCGTTCTTCCTGGTGGATCTTTGGGCACTAAAGTCACTCCAGTTCATTGAGCTTTATGTTTCCTTTTTTTTTGGCAGAACCGGGGATTGAACTCAGGCTCTTGCGCTTGCCAAGCAAGCGCTTATACGTTTACTTGTTGAGGGATCCCTCCGTTGATTCGCTCTTTCCTGTCTTATCCAATGGCCCCCCTTTTTTTTTGTGGAACCGGGAATTGAACTCAGGCCACTGTGCTTGCCAGGCAAGTGCTCATTCCACTGAGCCAGCTCCCCTGCCCCTCCAATGGCCTTTTGCTCAGCAGACCTCTGATTCTGTCAGTGAACTCTTCTGGGGTACATGCTCACTAGCCCCCCAGTGCTCTCTTCCTGTCCAAGAGGAAGCTCCAGGCTCGCCCTGTGCTTTTCTGCCCCAAGCCTAGCGCTAGCCAATTCCCAGAGAGCCTCATTTCTGGTGGTGGTAAAGCTCTTTAGTAGCCGGTGTCGAGGAGCCAGTTGCTAGGTTTTCTCCATGCCCAACAAGCCTCGTACATCAGATTATTTCCCGCAGGGAAATTTCTTGAACCCATACAAACATGTATTCATTTCAGTTATTTCCTATTGTGGCGTTTATGACTAATACAGCAATAAATATGTGTAGTACATATATATCATACATAAAACTGCATGACTTTTCTAAAGCTAATATTCATGTAACCAATACCAGCACCAAGAAATAGGACCTGAGGCTGGGAAGGTAGCTCAGTGGTAGGTAGAGCCCGTGCCTAGCATATATGAGGCCAGTTCCATTCTCAGCACTATAAATTTTAGAAAATAAAATATCAGGACCCCTAGCACTCTAAGAATTACCCTACACCTTGGTTAAATGTATTGATTTTCTTTTTTTTTAATTTTTATTTATTTGAGAGAGAGAGAGAGAGAGAGAGAGAGAGAGAGAGAGAGAGTGGTGTGTATGTATGAGTGGCCAGCTCAGCCCACCAGGGGGCGGGGCTGGCTGGCATGTGGTGCTGGGGGATTGAACCGCGGTCCCTGATGCTTTGCTAAGTTGTTCTAAGTAGGTGCTTTAGACCACTGAGCCATCTCTCCAGCCCCCATTGATTTTCTTTCTATTTTGACATCTCTTTATGTCTTGCAGAAAAGCAGTAATTGAATGAAGGGTGTTGGGAATTATGACCATGTTGACACTGGAAACTTCTGTTTTTAAAGAGATGCTGCTTGGTTGGGCACGGTGGCACATGCCTGTAATCTCAATATGTGGGAGGCTGAGGCAGGAGGATTCTTTTGAGTTCAAGATCAACTTGAACTACAAAGTGAGCTCAAGGCCAGCCTGAACTGCATAGCGAGACCCTTAGAAAGATGCCATTGCGAAGGTAGACACAGGGCCCTCAGAGTGGCACATTTTCCTGCAAAGCAGAAAGCTTTCAGAGGATGTGTATCAGCTGAATGTGGAATACCTACAAAAACAAAGAAGACACGGTCCAGGAAGAAAGAAATGGTCAAGGTTACTAAAACAGGTGCTTCACAAAAGGGGATGTCCAAATGGACAATAAATACACAAAGAAAATGCTCTGCTTCATTTCTTGAGAAAGAAGCATGAATGCTTCCAGGCATGCACCAGTAGCTAAGGTGAGAGCAGGAGGGGCCCGGAGAGATAGCTCAGTAGAATAAGCACTTGCCTGGCAAACGCAAGGGCCTGAGTTCAGTCCCCAGTTCCACCAAAAAAAAAAAAAAAAAAAAAAAAAAAAAAAAAAAAAAAAAAAAAGAGAGAGAGAGAGAACAGGAACTGGACAGTGCAGAAAGGGCGTGGGGCTGTAGGGATGCAGGCTTGCTGTTGGGCAGAGGCACATGTACCTTGGAAACCTGGGGTTTTCTGTCAGAGTAGATGGTCTTGGAAATTCGCAACCCAGCTGCCCATCTCCTGAACATGTGCAAGAGCGAGAGGGGATGCCCGGGCTTGTGGAGGGCTGGTCGCTAGCAGTTAACCATGCGGGCCTCAAGGGAAAACACTCACATCTGCAGATCTATTTGCACAATACAATAATGTCTTCAGTGAGGATTCCATGAGTGGGAGCTTCACCCAGCACCGCCACTGAATGACAGAAAATTAAAAATGCTGGGCACAAACAATCGTATGTTGATTGCTTCCATTTATAAAGAGTTCCAAACACAACTCCCTTAGAAGATGACAGTGCTAAGAGATGGATGCTTAGGTCGTAGGAACACATGGAAAGGGCTGTTGATCAAAGCAGTAAGACCCAATTATTTATTTATTTTTTTGCAGTACTGGGGATCGAACTCAGGGTCTTGTATTTGCCAGATAGGCATTTATGCCACTGAACTGTGTCCCCAGCCTGACAAGGCAATGAGACAAGGTGGTCTTTTCCTGTGTTTTGGAATGATTGCTTTGTGAAAATTTGCCCAGCTGTGCATTGTCTTAAAATTTATTTTTAATTGACTCCTGGGTGACATGTTCTATTCTTTTGTATCATAGTTCACTTTTCTGAAGTTTTTGTTCAAAGAAGTATTTTCTTTCCCCCAGGTTATGAATGTTCCGTTACTTTTGAGGGAAAGTCACCCTTCTCTTGCTTCTTTGAAAATAATTGGGTTTTTCTCTGGCTGTTGCATAAAGTGTTTTCCTTTTTGTGATGTGCAGAACTAGGAATTTGTTATTTCCACTGCTTGATCTTGAGTTTGTGGGTTGATGTGATCAGTAGTGGAGATTTTCCTCTACTCTCTGTCTCTTCTGTCCTGGCTGGCCTCCCAGAAGTGCAGCCTCTCTGTCCTGGCTAAATCTGCCCCTCTAGCCACCCCCAGGTTCTGTAAAGTAGAATCTGCGCAAGTGTAGGACCCATCTCAGAATATTCCCTCTCTGGTCCTGGTGCCTTCCCTTGGTAACTCCTTCCCTTCTGCACTCCAGTGGGACTGAGCTCACCTCAGCAGCTGGTTGCTGTCCCTCATGTTCCCACCTACTCTGACTCACCCCTGTTTTAGGAGCAGAAAGACCTCAGGGATTAGGTCCTTGCTCTCCTAATCCCCTGGGAATGGTGAGGAAACAGGATCAACTTCTGTGGAGATGTCAGCTTTGCTACTTGTAGGGGGGAAGCACCTTGGGCAAGTGCTTAGGGCTGGATACCTCCCATGAGAGAGGTGAGAGAGGTTGGGCTGACCCTGGAGCACCCCATCTGAACACACCCATGTCACACAGGCACTGTCACACTTGGACACACAGGTGCACAGCAGGGGCTTTAGGCCCTCTCCATACTCAGGGAGGAGCTGGGAGCTGGGGGATAGGGATCACCAGGGCGGCAGCAAGGGCAGTGTGGGTGACAGAGGAAGTTGGCCTGAGCCGTACAACAAGATTCTGCAGGGAGAAGGGTGGGGAGAGAGGAGAGAAGGCAATTCTCTTTGATCAAGTGTTTACTGAATGTCAAATGAGACCCTGGTACTATACAAAAGCCAAATGAAAATGGGCTAGAGAGGCTTACAGGGGACAAAGAGAGCGGGACATCGGGGACCACCCTGGAGAGGTAAAGACACAGAGCTTGAAGCCAGAGCCAGGCAGTGAGGATGCGAAAGGGCTGACCTCACTGGGCTAAAGCATTCTCTTCTATCCTGGGGATGCTGGTCTCTGCAGCGTGGCTCTGTCCTGTGTTTCTCACTGTCAGGTGGTTGTCCTGTGTCTAGCATGAGCCCAGGAAGCCTCAGTTGGGCCGGGCAAAGCCTAGGGAAGGGCCTCTCTAATGCAGATGCACCCTTAGGGCTTGTCTGGGCAGGTAGCCACCACGCATAGCTTCGTGCTAAGCACAAGGATCAAGGAAGACGTTTCTCTCTGGTTCCTTCTGTCCAGGCACAGCAAGCAAGCACTTGCACAGGGTCAGTTTAAGCAGACCTCGCCACCCGGGGCCCAGTCTCCCTCACATGTCCGGATCCCTTTCAGTGTCCAGCACAACCTCCCATTCTTGCCTGACTCCTCCTGGTTCTAGCCCTCTCCACCTCCATCCTGTACTGAAACCCATGTCACCCTATCTCCGCTGTGGGACTGGGACCGAGTCTCTCTCACGGTGGGATGCTGGGGCTCTACCACCACTCTACTCCAACCCTGCACACATCCCATCCCCATTTGCCAGACTTTCTCTTTCCATCTGTGTCCCTGGGGTGGTGTCCAAGGCCCTTGTGCTTGACCTTTCCATCTGGAAAGTGCTTTTTGGAGGCTGCGGGGAGCGGGGTGATCTCCTCTTGCTGCTGCCAAAAAGCGAAGGTCCCAGGCCCCACAGTCCCACCACGTGCACCAAAGCCCATCCTCCCAGCTCACCGCAGTGTTCCTGAGCCCTCCCCGCCTCCTCTTGTCTTCCCCAAGCAACCAGCCTGAAGGCCCCAACACAATACCCACACACTGGCAGATGCCCCATCTCCCCATGCTGTCTCCAGCCCAGGTCTCCTGCCTGTACTTCTCCATTTGGCACCTCAAAGTCAACCTCTTCTCCCCACTGTGGGCCTGTGGCCCTGTCTGCCTGCCAGCTGTCTAGCCACCTGCCCAGCAGCGGCCAGAGACTGCTTCTGCCTGCAGATCTCTTGCTGTCGCCACCCCCAGGCCTGTTCTCCAGTCTAGCACCTCTCTCTGGTGCCATGGGCAGAACTGCCGCATCCAGAGTCGTAGCCTTGGGTCAGCCTTCACTGTGACTCTGGGAAGTAGAGGCCATTTTGCCCTTTTATGGCTGAGGAGACTGTAGCAGCAGGTGAAGAACCTGCTTAGGTCCCAGGAATAGGCTGGCCCTGGCATCACTTCCGGGCACCCCCTCCTGGGGGCTGATGTAGGTTTCTGCTGCCCCATCACCCCCAGGCTGCCGGAAGCCCAGGGATCAGGTCCCAGTCAGCAAAGTTGGCTGTGACACCACTCTCTGGACTAAAAGACTATCAGGCTGTTTGTCTCAAGGAGGGTCGAAGACTCCACACACATACCTGGGGCATGGACAGGAGGCTAGGCAGGAGCAGGGTAGGTATTTTATTGAAAGTTCACAGATACAAGTGCTCTGAGCAGGTCACAGCTTGGAGGAGGCGGGGTCAGGAGAGAGTGAGCCCCAGGTGCTGGCAGTCCCCCATCTTGGGGGCTCCCACATAAGCCCTTCTTGCTGAGTGTGGGGTCTGCAGGCCCCGGAGCCTGGGCAGGGCACATGGAAGCCAGGGCAGCAGCAGGGGGGAGGCTGGGGCCCAGAGACAGGCAGGGCGAGGGCCAGGAGGCAGATGGGGGCTAGATGGAGCTCTGCTCCTCAGGGCGCTTTCGCTCTGTGTCACATACAGCCTCTGAGGCCCAGGCGGGAGCCTTGACCTGCCCCACCCTCAGGGCATCCTGCCTCCCAGTGACCACAAAAATAAGCAAGTCTCAGGGCTGCTTCCTCTTGGCCCTGGTGCCCGTGGGGTCAGTAGTCAGTGAGCGGGTACCGCAGGAAGATGAAGACCAGGATGATGCAGGAGGCCGCCAGCGCCGAGCTGGTGATGTTGAACAGCCGAGCAGTTTTGGCATCCTCTACAGCCCCATTCAGGTCATTGAGGAGCTTCTTGTCCCGAACCTGAAGCCAGAAGGAGGGTGAGACCTGGGTCACCAAGGAGCAGTTGCCAGAGCCCACAGAGGGTGGCAGGCCACCACAGCTTCCTGACCCGCAGTGGCTGTATGCTCACCCATAAGGAAGTACACTGGCTTTGGGGAAGTCCTGAGGGCTCCTGTGTGAGACTTACTCTCAGAAAGTTTGTAGAAGGTCTTTAGAGAGACCAAAAAAAAAAAAAAGCAAATGGCAGAAATATTAACACAGGGACATCTGAAGTGTTCTAAAGGAAAAAGATGAGGTGGTCTTGGAGAAGGTGAGGCAGCAGCGAGCGCGTGGGGTTCCACAGATGGCCTGATGGAACTGGGACTGAGCGTAGCTGTGGGGAGGGCAGGGCAGGCGGCCAGCTGTCACCAAGTTCCCTGGGGGAGGATATGCCTGAATGGAACATGGGGACCTAGGCTTCCCGGAGGTCTATGGGCAAAGCTGGTACATTTCCAAGAAGCCTGCTCTTCTAGGGGAGTCTTGGGGTGCTGCTGTCCACCGACAAAGTCCAATAAGGGCAGGTGTGAGCATGCTGTAAGCAGAAATGAAAGCCAGGGAGGAGAAAGGGCAGGGAGAGAGCTGCAGGGAGGACGGGACGGAAAGTCCTTGCATTAGTCAGCTGCGGCTGCTTGAAGGAAGGAAGGTGGGCAGGTAGGCACCTGGACCCACCAGGCCCAGGCCACCAGGCAGACAGGCTGGGAAAGTGGAAGGAGATCAGAGCAGTGGGTGGGAGAGAGGGCAGATAGATAGGAAGGTGGGGGTGCAGGTGGGGAGGAGAGTAGCTGGGAGGAGGGATGGTGCTGTGGTGGATGGAGGGAGGCAGTGGGTATGGGAGGGACAAAGGAAGAGAGAGAAAGAAGGCTGGAAAGATGGGTTGCAAAGATGGGCGGGGTGGGGGGGAGAAGGGTGCGGGGAGCAGAATGGGGTGTGAGGGGATGGGAAGATAAGAAAGCAGGAGATGGGGCCAGGCCTACAGGGAATGTGTGAACAGACAGAGTGGGAAGCAGGGAGGAACTGAGGGACTGGGCATGAAGAGGGGAGTGGTCTCTGTCCCTGGGGAATTGTTATTCTAGTGATTTTTTTTTTTTTTATTTTATTTTAGTAAGGGTCTATAGGGTCTCACTATGTAGATTGGACTTGTAGTTATTTGCCCAAGTTCAGCCTCCTGAAGAGCTGGGATTACAAGTGTGGGCCACCACGCCCATTCTCAGTCACCATCTCAGCCTGCCCAGGGGCAGGGGATCAACAACCCCGGCCGCTGCACTCTGCGTAAGCAGGTGCTTTAATCTGCTGAGCTATTTGGCCGGCCCTATTCCTGTGATTTTGGAGGGAATGGACATTGGTTGCTGTCACTGAATTCTGTCCTCCTTGAGAACAGGATGTGTCACTCACTCATGTAGCTCCCACTGTTTGAAGTCTTTATTAAAAGTTTTGGGAAATAAAATAAAATAAAAAGTTTTGGGACCAGGGAGATAGCTCAGTAGAATAAGTGCTTGCCTGGCAAGCACAAGGGCCTGAGTTCAATCCCTGGTTCTGCCAAAAATAAATAAATAAATAAATAAATAAATATGGGGGCTGGAGAGATGGCTCAGTGGTCTAAAGCACCTACTTGGAACAAGCTTGGCAAAGCACAGGGACCACGGTTCAATCCTCCAGCACCACATGCCAGCCAGCCACGCCCCCTGGTGGGCTGAGCTGGCCACACACACACACACACACACACACACACAAAATATATTTAAAATAAATAAATAAATAAATAAATAAATAAATAAATGTTTTATGAAGGGGACCAGGGAGATAGCTCAGTGGTCTAAGTGCCTGCTTGGCAAGTGCAAGGAAAGGGGTTTGATCCCTGGTACTGCATGCTGTGCCAGCTCCACCCTGGGACTACCAAGCTGACCACCAAAACCAGGCATGGTGGCACACATCTGTAATCCCAGAGCTGGGGAGGCTGAGACAGGAGAATCACTATGAGTCTGAGCTGCATAGCAAGACCCTGTATTTAAAATAAAAAAAAGTTTGATGAAAAATTTCTCCTTAAAGAGATAGCCTCTTTGGTTAGGCTTGGCCTTAGCCTATGTACTCATTTAGGTTTGGTTTGTTTTGGTTCATGAGGCCCCTTGGGCCTCAGCTTCCCATGGGTTGGGATTACAGGTGTGTACCACCACACTGAGCTTTAGCCTATTTATTTTTAAATTCTAATGTAAAATGACATTTCTCACTGAATTTTTTTTTTTTTTTTTTTGGTGCGTAGACATTTGACTCTCTCCTGTGGAGTGGTTCTGTGTCCAGCTAAGCGATGCTATTTTTGATAACTGAATATTTTCCATAACAAATTATAACAAATGCACTGTGAACAGCAGTTCTAGTGATCATTCCAGTCCTTACACCGGACTGCAAAATACAGCAGTGAGGGGCGCAGATGCAAGAGAGCTGCTGGCTCAATTTAGGTCTGGGTTCTGCCGGGTACTTACCATGTGACCCAGCAGGTAACTGCCTGTGCTGTCCCTCCATATCCTCATCTGTGACACCAGCACCATATGGCCGGGAAGGGCCTCATGAACTAGCGAGAGTGAGGTACTGATGGAGCTTCTGGTCCATAGCTGCTTTTTTTTTTTTTTGCAGAACCGGGGATTGAACTCAGGCTCTGGCACTTGCCAGGGAAGCGCTTATTCCACTGGGCCATCTCCCCAGCCCCCTAGCTGCTTTTACCTTGGGGCAAAGGTGGTTTCTAGAACAGTCTGGAATAGCAGAGATGGTAATAGGCAGCCCCTTCTCATGCTGGGGCTTAAATTCCACCACAAAGCGTGCTGCTCATTTTATGAATAGAGGTCTAACATTGTGCTCAAAAGTCCCAAGAGATAAACACATGAGTTCTTCTTCTAATTCATTAATGTGGAGGATTACATTCATTGCTTTTCTCATATTAAAATAAACAAGAAAAACCTCTGAGGCTGGGTCACATGCCTGTAATCTCAGCACTCAGAGGCATGAGGATCATGAGTTGAGGCTGCCCGGACAATGGGACTGCGGAATAAGTCCTTGTCTTAAAATAAAGTCTTCCACTGAGTTCTGAATTCCTAAGTTAAGCTTTGCTTGCAGCGTCTAGTTGAACGGGATGAACACTGAGGGAAAGCGCAGTGGCTTTAACATGGATGTACCAGCAGAGGAAGACAGCTGGACAGCAGCTGGCACTAAGGATAAGGGGATGGTGGCCACGACAGAGACATGGGATGAGGGGGACTGGGGAGGTGACTCAGTGTTTGGAAAGGGGCTGGATTTGTGGGAGGCCGATGCAAGAAGCAGGGCCAGGGAAGCAGTCATGGGAATAACATATGCTGCGTTGCAAGGAAAGTGGGATGGATACAGGGATTAAGCCAATTAGTGGGATAGGTTGGCTGGTGAATATGTGGACGCAGGCCAGACACATGGCACAGGTGACTAGAGTATATCAAGGGTGGACAGGGGAATGGGTGAAGATTCCAAGATGGGACAGAGATGTGTGCCAGGTGAGTGGGATAGATGGACAGGTGAGTTTGCAGACATGCTGGGCAGTTGGAGTAGATGGGTAGTTGGTGCCTCGGTGCATGCTGGATGGGCAGCACGGGCACGGCGAGTGTATCAGGATGCACCGAATGGGTACAACAGGCACACAGCTGGACCTGTGAATGTGTGCCAAGTGGACAGAACAGGAGGATAGGTGGTGGCACAAATGTGCACCCCCTGGGTAGGACACGTGGGCAGACAAACCTGTGGATGTGTGCTGGATGACTAGATTGGGCAGTTGGGCAGGCAGGCACACAAATAACTTTGAGGGTGTACGTTGGGTGGCTGGGGTGTGTATTTGGGGGCTCAGTTGTGTATGTTGCATCACAGGCCGATGCCTAGGTACCTATGCTGGATGGGGGAGCAGGCAGGTGTGCACGTCAGATGGGTGACAGGTGGATAAATGAAAGGGAGGTATTGGATGAGTTATATATAGACCAGGGGATGGTAGATGGACAGATTAATTAACTCAACCAACCAACCAACCAATCAATCAATCAATCAATCAGTCATCAACCAGTTGATCTTTATCCAGTGGTTTTGTGTAGCTGCTGTTCTCAGAAGGAATGAAACAGTCTCTGTTCTCATGGAGTTTACATTCTGGGGCAAGGAAGAAGGAAATAAGTATGATAAGTCCTTACAGTAAGTAAAATGGCTGATGTGTTCAATGTGCTCAGAAGGGGCCCGAGGAGGGGGAAGAGAGTACGGATGGAGGAGCAGTCTTGGCTGTGCTTCCAGGAAGACTTCTGTGAGGGGACATGCAAGTCAAGACTGGACAGTGTGACAGGCTTGGTCATGAGTCTATCTGGGGAGAGAGGCGCAGAGCCAAGCTCAAAGCTGTCAGGAAGGTAGAGACCAGAGTGGGGAGCACAATACGGAGGGACACTGGGAAAGAACACTGTTCAGGAGCCCATCGGTGGGGAGGTTTGTAGGAGATCTCTGGAGTCATTTAAGAAGTGGATGATCTGATATATTTCAATGTGGAGATTCTAGCCACTGTATTAAGATCAGATTGAGAAGAAGACAGTGCCTGGATAGGCACAGAGATCAATCTAAAAGCACAAGCTGGAGATCAGGGTGGCTCTCCTCTTTTCGCAGGAGCAATGAGGGTGGAAGATGGGATCTGTCTCCGGGTATATGTTGAAGGCAGAGCTGGTGGAGCTTCCTGAGGCCTAGTGTGGTGTGTGATAGGAAGAATGTAGCTGGAGGTGGCTCCCACTTTGATCAATCTTAAGTGCAGAGTGTCACAGGAAGAGCAAGTTTGGGGTGCTCAGCCATCCAATTCTGATTCAGCAAAGACAGGGTATGTCTGAGACCTGACAGGGCAACAAGGGAGGGCATGTCAACAGGGAAGACAGCCCGGCAACCCCAGCAACCTGAGTTCAAAGATCAGGGAGGCCAAAGCAATCAGGAAAAGGGCCCGAGAAGAATGG